GTCCAGCAGGCAGCAGGCAAACAAGACATTAGATTCATCAGATAACTCTTGGTTTTCCTAGTCTGTTGGTTAGCTCACAGTTGCTGTCCAAAAGTGATGGTGAGATGATAAGAGTGCAATAATTTATTTTAAGTCAAGAGATATCTTTTGTCAAGTATTTATGAAATCAAGATCTCGGTTTGTGAAAGAGAAATACACTTGTTCTTTTGGACCAGGATTGAAACTAATATAGTATGTAGTAATATTTTAAAGGAGGATTGTGTATGCATGATCTGACTGCTTCCTTTCTGATTTCTTAAAATCTCACACAGCAAATTTAATAATGCATTTCAGACTTTATTTCTGCTTGAGATTATTTTCCTTTATTCTTTAATTAAAACTGTTTTTGTTGTTTTGTGCGAAGAAGAGGGGCAGATGAAAAGGAAGGCTGGGGAAAGGAACTGTAAGAAAAGAAAGAAAAAAAGTCTTAAGTTTTTCTTATTTTGGGAGGCTAAATTTAGGAAAATATTTTATACCTTTGTAGCAGAGTGAACAGAAAGCATTTCAGAGTTTGTTGGATAGATTTCTTATAGGAAAGATAAACCTTTATGTGAGTAGATTGTTTTACCAGGGAAGTAACTTAAACATTTTGCATGAGTATGCTGACAAGTTTATACAAGAAAAAGCCTTTCTACTGAAGGTAAACCTTTGGGTGAGAACAAATTAACATATGAATGTAAATATTTTTATTTCTTCTGAAACCTTGTCTTACTTTGGTTTTATTGTTTTGGGTTTTTTGACAGCATGGAAATATCCCCTTTGAAGATAAATCTGCTTCAATTAAAGTGGTAAGTTTTTATCTGGCATTGAATTGCAAGCCATAATAACGCGTATTATTATTTCATACAGTGTAATCCAAATTGCAGCTAGAGCTGGATTTTTCAAATTTTAACAAGTACTGTAAAAGTCAAAGGAAGCTTTAGACCATCAACATTCTTTATCAATTTTCCACTAAATAGAGTGTATCTTAATGTATTATATTTTGAATAAGATTCTTCGAGAGACTTTGGCTTTGGGTACTTGCATGCTGTGTTAGCTTTCTGTGTAAGCTCTGGAAGCGTGTACAATTTTTCTTTTTGTCAGATCTTTTAATTTGGCCTTCCCAAGAATAGCTTTTGCCAGGAAGTTTACTCTTCCACTGCTGCAAGAATATGTATCTGGGTTCAATTTATTTGGAGTGGTAATTGTCATAATTGCCATTGAGTTCTGTATGGTATCCCAACAAGTATTCCTTCCACTGTTTTTGCATGGAGAAGCAACCACAATGTTGATTATAATGTGGATATTTAAAAAAAAAAATAAAAGAAACAAAGTTCGTGAGGGTAGGTTTTATGAAGGACTCTCTTCTCCTCTGCCCTGGCAATTGTAATGGTGTCCTCAATAGCTTTCTTTGCTTCCCATGACAGCTATCAGCAGCACTGGGATTCTGCTAGTCATGTATTTGTTTATGCCCTGGAGACAACTCATTCTCTGTTCATGAAAACTAAAGAAGCAGTGTATTTGCTGAGTTGTCTGCAAGTGAGTTTTCAATACTTGTTTGTGTACAAGGTTAAGATTTAGGGTACAGAATAACATTTTAAGGTGCGAGCCCATGGCAATTTAAGCTTATGCTGTCCTACTCTCTTGCCTTTCACAGTCTGTTTATGTGTTTGTGCTGTAACTAGCCGTGGTACAGCTGTGGGGTGGACTGGTGTAGGAGTTGATTCAGCCAAAAACTTCCCTTGTAAGGTTTCTTTTTGGTCAGGTCTGATGTGGCTCATCATATGGTTATGTGAATGCTGTAAAAGGGGGCAAAATACAAGGCAGGACAAAGGGGCTGATACAATGCTTGTTGGCATAGCCTGACAGAGAACTGTATCTTCAAAACTCTTTAAGCCTTGGTAGGTGTCCAGTCACCAAGATTTGAGATGGCAGGTTTGGGCTTTTGGGAGATGTCTGGGTAGCTAAGAATATATTCTTAGTCTGCTGTTTCCTTGTTTGATGCCATATTGCTGTTGACAGTATTGGCATGGTAGCTGAATTTTCATGTTCACAGTGGCTGTGACCCAGAAATCTGAATGTGGAAAACACTTGACCAACAAAAGAGAAAATCACTGGGAACAAGTGGAGAGTTTAATTTTGCTGTTTCTAGTCATCATACTGACCCTTCCGTCCTTCAGCCACTGCAACTGCCTGCCTAATAGCTCACAGATTCCTGCCAAATAGTCAATTGACAGTACTCAAGTGACCTATCAAAATCTTTAAGTCTGTGAAGGTGGAATGTAGAGATTTCCTCTCTTCGCGTAGTTTTTCTGCATTATAATGTTTCCTTACAATAACTTCTGCATATGTAGTCCCTGCCATTTCACTTTATTGTGTATTTGTAGTCCTTTTGATATTTCTGCACTTGGGGAGTAACTAGATGCTAGGTAGTCTCAGCTTTACCTGGGAGACAATATCACTAGTCAAAGTCTAGGCTGTCCTTCCAGATGAAGGCTGGGCACTAATGACATCTAAAAAAAAAGTCGGTAGCTAATGCGCTTAGTGTCCACGGCACTGTTAAACTGCTAATGCTTTATGAAGTTATAATGTAAAATGTTGTTTTAGTTTTGTTTGAAAATTGTGATTTCAAGCTATCAATCACATTATGTAAAGTTCTGGAAGAAGAAGAAAAAAAACTTGTTGGTAAAAACTCTGTAAATTGAACAAAAAGCAAGTTGTAATAAATAAGTTATAGGTGTGAGTTTGGTTTTAGTCCTGATTGCATTGGAAACTCAAGGACATCCCATTTGGCAGAAGCTAAGAAGTTACATTCTTGGTGAAGTTCCAACTCCTGAACTACAAATGAAAATTTATTTTTTTTTTCATAGGGCAAAGGAGGCTTTTTGGGGTTCCCCCCCCCCCTTTTTTTTTTTTCCTGCTTTCCATGCTAGACTGATGTCAGGCTTTTCATGCTAATTTTGGGCCAAGTGTTTTTCCTTCACAGTTGAATTGATGGCAATTAGTTTGGGATTTTTGAATTTTTGTTATTAGTCTACTGCTTCTCTTTAAGCTTACAGAGTAAATCTGTATTTATTTTACAGGATTTCCTATGGTATCCAGAAGTTAATGGCTCTATGAGGCAATGTATCAAATCTTGGACTGAGGTTTGTCTTAAAAACTGCTTCCTTTAGGAAAATACAGCAATTGACTGAGGACTACCACCTTTCTTTTTTTTTTTTCCATACACACAACTATAATTACTAGGTGTCCAGCAACTGCAACATATCACATATATTCAGTCAGTTATGTACCAGAGATCTGAAATTGGACATCAGAATAGTGAAAGGGGGATGTTTACTGGTGTATATGTTTCTGGCATCTCCTGGTCTCACAAGGATGGCTTCACTTGGGCCAAAAAGCCCCAAACCAAACCAGTAAAACCCTGCTTTCTAGGAGCAGGTTGATTCACCCTCTTAAGAGCTGAAAGGATTTTACTCTGATTTGGCGTTTCTCTTCCTCTGTATCTGCAGTAGCTTTTATGTGACCAAATATTTTTGATCCTTATGGGTCACTTAAAACTGGAGATATTTTATGATTCTATTTTATATTTATGTTAATGTGAGTGTTCCAAACTGGAGGACAAAGGCAATATGGAAAGTCAAGAATGCCTTTATTATTTTTTTCAATATTTCCATCAAATTATGTACTAATTATTTTATGTGTTTCAGTTATGATACAGGTTGTCAGTTATGTATTTAATACTGATAAGGAGTAAAATGTTTACAGATTCTTCCTTTGTTGACCTTTAAATAACCTGGAGTTATTTAGCAACGGCCCCTGGTGATTCTTTTGCTACCATATTTGTCATTCTTGTGCAACACCTTCCATCAAGATAGCTGAAGTAATAATTTGTTTTTCTTTTTCTGTGATTACTTTTTTCTGTGATATTCTGTGATTTTACTGCTAAACTCTTGCTGTGCCAAGGCAAGACTTGTACTGAGGTGATCAGCACTGTTTGTTTTCCTTGTTTGAGTACCTATTCTGTTCCTTGTCCTACTTGTAACTTTCAGACCAGGGCAACAACTGTCCATTGTCCTTGTTCTGTTATAGCAACGGGTTTACAGTCTGCAATGGGTTTATGGTAACTTCAGTCAGTAGAGCAGCTCAAACAGATGTTTCAGAATGCAGAGAGACACTGAGAGAAAAAGTATTTCAACAGAATGATCTACAATTTACTTGACCTTAGGAGATGTTTAGATAGCTTTTAAAGAGAACTTATGCTGATAAATTGATGATTGTAAGTGCTTATTGATGTTTTGCACTTTTGCAGTTTCTGTTATGTAATATATCCGCCATCTATTCTTTTGTAACCATTAACTGATAGACAAGTTGACTCACAGTTAATCAAGATATGCGTTTTAATGAACCTGCTCAATATAAGTATAATTTGTGAATATTTTAAAATTAATTTCTTTTAACTTTGTGTCTTAGGGTTCTGTGGAAAAACCTCATATAATTGTAGCAGGAGCTGCCACGGTAAGTTAGACATATATGGGGTATTTTAGCAAAGAAGGAAGTTCTAGTAGGATAACTTTTATGCTCTCAAGTCGGTTACATGATGAAGTTATTAAACCTAATTTCTAATAAAAAATACACTCTCAGCATATTTTCTGTTATAACAAGTAGCTTTAAAATATCAGATATGTTTTATTATAGCTGTGTGATATACGGTACTTGCTTTTGGCAGCAATACTGGTTGATAAGCATTGATTAGCTTGAAGCTAGCTAATAAGTAAAGTAACTTCTTTGTTTAAAGCAGATTACTTGTTAAAAAAGTTAAATAAAAGTACTTGCATACCAACTGAGATGCATTTTCATGCACAAAATGCTTGTTTTTGAGCATGGCCCAATCTGGAATCTTTTAGACTTAGATGGGCAAAACCCTGAATTTTATAAGAATAATTTGACAACCAAAGAGATTGCCCTCCCTGAATCTTCACAGAATCACAGAATGTTAGAGATTGGAAAGGACCTCGAAAGATCATCTAGTCCAATCCCCCTGCCGGAGCAGGACACCTAGATCAGATCACACAGGAACGCATCCAGGCGGGCTTGTTCCATTGGAAGTTTCCACCTCTGGTATGAGCTGCAACGTCACAGAAAACAGGGCTTACAAGGACCTGCAGAGGTCTCCTAATCCATCAGTTTGCCACAAGGCAGGATCACCTGTGTCACACTTGACAAGAATCAACCAAGTCTTTAAAACTTCCAGGGATGGAATTCAGCAGCCCCTTCTAAGTAGTCTGTTCAAGTAGTTGGCTGGTACTGTGAGTCAAGAGTCAAACCAACTGCTCATCTCATTAATTCCACAGTTAGTGTCCCCTACTTCTAAATATTTTGGAATTGGAATTTGAAAGGAATTAGCTATTAAAATTTCGTACCAGCTCAAATGTAGAGGGGGGGAAAATGTGTTCCATTTTAAACAAAATAATTTGAAAGCAGTTTGATTTAGAGACAGTTCTGGCATTCTACCAATCTGGAAGCTCCTGAGCATGCTGATCTAAGGTGAACTCCCTCAATTTTAGGGGAAGGTCATATGTGTATACAGACCTCCACACATTTCCTGAGGGATCAGAAATTCTCTGTTTCCTTACAGGTGAATCTCACAAATTCTCTTCTTCTGTGGGATCCACTTGAGCTGTAGGAATCTTAGTAAACCTAGAATATCTCTGCTCAGTCAGAGAATCTAGCATGTCTTACTAGCATGAGTCATTGTTTTTCACACAGAAAATGCCATTATAAATGGATAGTGTTCTGGAATGCAGAAGGTAAGGTTGCAGAACTACAGGTCTCTTAACTAAGTCCTTTTACTCATATACATATATACATTAGCCATAGCTTGTTGTCCTTTGTGGACAGCAGGAGATATGAACCAACAGTATGCATGCAATGCGTATTTTAGTAGGGCCTGTTGCAATGACTTTTAACTAAAAGAGCATAGCTTCAGGCTAGATATAAGAAAGAATTCTTTTATGATGAGGGTGCTAAAAACTGGAACAGGTTGTCCAGAGAGGTAGTAGATGCCCCATCCCTGGAAACATTCAAAGTCAGGTTGGACGGGGCTCCGAGCAACCCGATCTAGTTGAAGATGTCCCTGTTTGTTGCAGAAGGTCTTGGACTAGCTGATCTTTGGAGGTCTCTTCCAACCCAAACCATTCTGTGATCTATGATTCTATGCACAGCTCTTTGTAACACCCATATATTTACACAAAACACTGGTAGTGATATCTAGAGTTGGCCAAAGAGAAACATCTCCTATTTTAAGGGACTTGAAGACAAGTAAAAAAATCTGACACATCGTCAATATTTCCATGGCTAGCACTAGTGTGGTAACCCACTGCTAGATTAAACTGGTGTGTGCCCTTAGACTTGTCAGGATTTTGAAACTTAGCTGTATCTTTAACTTAGCTCTTGGTTTGGTCATGCTGCTTTGGTCTGGACATGCCTGTCTTTAAGATGCCAACTGCATAACAGTTTATAAATAGAAGTAAAGTCTTATAAGCTGGAGAAGCTCCAGCTCGTACAAGACTCAGTTGCTTGCTTATTTTGGGAAAAGGAGATGCTCTGAGAATGTCACTGCAGTGCTTTGCTTCTTAGTTTCTGACTTCCTGTTGAATAGAATATGCTTCTTAAAACATCTGTTTAAATACTGTAGGTATTTCCTGAGTAAAGATTTAGCTATTGGGAGAAACTGCTTTTTTTTGTTTTGTTTTGTTGTTTGTTTTTTTTTTTTTTTCCAGAGTGTGAGTTGTCAGAGCAGGTGCATATTACTTGGATTCATGAAATGTTTGTTTATGTTTGATAATATTGTCAGGAAGTATATTAATCAGTGTACCTGGCTTACATCAAAATTTTAATGTAGATTTTTACAAATAACTAGAGAGCTCACTACATTCAGGCTAATTTTTTTTTTTTTAATAGATTTTGGCTAGATCAGTATAGATACAAAAATACTTTTAAAAAATGCTGACCCTGTATTTCCTACAGTGTGGGAAACCCTTTTTAGAAGTTAGGAGAAATTATGGGGCTGCTATAGCATTCTCCGAGTTATTTCATATAGAAGATTAAATCAGGAATTAAAATGGCTCCTTTTCTTTTTTTTTTTTTTTCCTTTGTGGATATCTACAAAACATATGGAAATATTGGAACTCAGTACTACCATCAAGTTTTGTTTGCACACATCTCTTGCTGCGGTCAGTTTTCCTAGAGTAAAATCAACCAAATTGGCCATGATTTTTGTATAATGTGACTGGCTTTGCTACTTGATCATTGTTCAAAGTCAAGGGGCTTTTAATTAAAACACCTTGCATAATTTCATTTATGAAAAATTAAGTATACATTAAGTTGAATATTATATATTCTATATTTAAATGGTCTGTTTGAATATAATTATCTGTCTAGACAGCTGCTTGATCCAAAAGAAATTTTTTAGCACTTTAAAAGCAAAGACTAAAAAAATAATTTAGCTTTATAGAAATAATGAAAAATACCTACTAACAGAGCAATGGAATCAGTTAATTAAGGGTCCTCAGGCATACAGGTTCTGACTCTCTTTCTTTATTTCTGCAGTGGTCTATCAAGATTCACAATGGCAGCAATGAAGCCCTCACACAATATAAAATCAATATCACTTCAATTGCACCTCTTTTGGAAAAATTAGCAAAAAGTAGTGATGTTTACTGGGTCTTACAAGGTAAAGTAATGAACAGTAGGTAACAATTTGTACTTTCACTGTTTGTTGAATCATTATCCTTGTAGGATATGGAAAATTTAGTCCATGCTGCTTACTTGCAGAGTAAAAATGATGTTGGCTGAATTCCAATCTGGCCTTTCTTACAGCCTTAACTAGTACCTAAGTTACTAAGTACCTTAGATGGTACCTAACTGGCTGTTACTAGTGATGGAGATTTTAAAGCTCTCTCAGAAAAATCTTTTGCCTTCTGAATTCCTCATTTTTTGTTAGCTCACTCTCAGACTCAATATGCCAGGTCTGTTCTCCTTGTGCTGTGCCTCCTGGAAGTCAAGAACACAAGTGCATAAAACAGTTGTATCCCTGTGTTTGTGTTCTATTCAATTTTCATATTACATAAATAATAGGAGAGTTTCAACAAGTACATCCTCCACGTATGTCTAGAATGAAAAGACATACTCGAGAGAATATAGCGCATTTAATTCTCTAGAATGAAACTTGCTTCTGTACACTGAGCACCAATGAGTTAAGATTGGGAGCCTGAAGTCATGGTTCAGAATGAGTCTGTGATATTTTTATTATGGCACCAAACTTAGATTCTTTTGCTTTTCTTCAATAAAACTAAGGTATGTCTCTGACACTGAACAATGAGCTCATAGGTAGAATGTGCTCCTGCTTTATCTGACGCAGAATATGGCGTTTCAGATTATCATCACCTCAGTTAGAAAAATAGGCAGATTTTGAACCCTGAGAGGAATATACCCAGCTGTACCATTACAGTTCATAGGAACTGTATAACCCAAGTTCCTATCAAAGGTGGTTTTAGAGGTTAACCTGAATCCACAGACTGATCTTCTTACATTCCTCTCTCTTTATCTGTAACAGAAGCAATTAGCTGTCAGACACATCCCAACATTCTGTTGATAGAGATCCAGTCCATTTAAGTCATCTCTGAGCTCTTCAATGGAACAAGTAAGAGGAAAAGCAGTCTGTATACGGAGTTGTCTAGACATCGATTGTCCAAAAGCAGGCATGAGATAGCTAAAGTAAATTGACCTAGAGCTCGTAGAGTGTGTTTCACCAGAGTTACGAACATCAGTAGTTTTCATAGCAACTTACTGATCTCCAGCTGACCTTTTCATCTAGAACCCCGTATAGCTTTGTATTAAGCTCTACGTAATTTCTGAAGCCTGCAGGCAATTAAGTGATGTTCCATTCTTCTAAAAATTCAGCCATCAGTTAAACTGGAATCAACAGAAGCAAGTGGAATGTGCTTATGGACTATGACTTAGAGAATGAGAAGCTGGTTTCTTCTGCAGTAACTAGAGGGTTTGAGAGATATTTTTTTTTTCTTCCACGTGTCTATTCTGCTGCCTATCTTCTGTCCTCTTGGCTTTGGAGTCTTTTCTTGGGGGGTTCCATTACTGAGAGAAGGCATAAGCAGCTCTGCATTCCTCTGTTATATGCTCTTCACAGGTTTGGGTAAATTAAACAGGCATTCATGCCTGGATAAAGTTTTCTAATCTATAAGTACATGTGCATGACTAGGAAATGGCAAGAACATTTCATCATAAACAACTTTCATTACTACTCTAGTTACTGTAACAGTCACTCATTTCTCGTTGTACATTTTTTCTGTTCCATTAAATAATTCTGACTACCTAAATGAAAATAGCCTGTTATCACTTGAGCTGTTTGTCAAGTAGAAGATTAATGTTCCTGTTCTTTGTCCTTTCAAATTCAGACCCTGTTTATGAAGATATTCTGAGTGAAAGTCGGAAAATGATCACTAATGAGAAAATAGATGCTTATAATGAAGCAGCTGTTCGTATTCTGAACAGCAGTTCCCGAAATTCCAAAGCTAAAGTTAAAGTGTTCAGTGTATCAAAATTGATAGCACAAGAAACTATCATGAAGTCTACAGATGGCCTGCATCTCCCTGAATCAAGCAGAGATACAGTAAGTGTTTTTATCACTGGTCAACATCAAAAAGTAGTAATAGTAAAACAAGATTTTAAGTGAATATTCTGAAATGGCAGAAAATATGAATGTAGTGAGAATGTACACATTCTTCATGAAATTTTGTTCAGAAGATCCCAGTAGGTGGGAGGGCGCTCAGTTATATAGGACGTTTAAAAAATATAATCGCAAACACATCAGTGTGTAGGTATTTTAAAATAGCTGTTAATCCACTATATCTTTTAGATCCTCAGTGCAAACTTGGTGCCTTCATCTGCATGAATGAGTTAGGGTGGTAATGATTTGTAAAGCAGTGCTAAGAAGTAAGTCGTAAATTTTCCCCTATGCACCCATATAATTGTGCTTAGTAAGGAGTATGAAAAGGATAAGTAAACACGCAATATACACCTTCCTGGCTGCATGGAGTGCCACTGACTTAATTTCTTATTTTATCTCTAACCTACCAGTATATATATGCATGCAGTGAGCCCCTCTGAGCTTTGTCAGTCTGCTCTTCTCATGAAAGAGCTCTCCCACCATGTCACTTTCAGTTCCACTCCTTTGTGGGTTTCCATTGCTGTCAAGTACTGGATGAACCACAGGTTTCAGTCTCATTGTAATGTTTTAGAGACTTTTGTTACCGTGCCCCTTTAGGATCCAAGTTTGCGAGCTGTTTTTTTCATTTATAGTCCATTTGGCTCTTTATAACTCCTTTACAGCCAGAAGAAAGAACCTTTCCGTTGTAAATATGAGGTTTAGGGTTTTTTGCTTACCTCAAGAAGCTAAAGCATTTCCCATTTGGAAGAGATGTTTTGACTGTACTGTTGAATGCAACTAGTTATATGGGGGTACTGTGAAATTTTATCTAGGTAATGATAAAGGAGAACTGCATATGTTTTATGTCAATGCATGATGTAGAAGAAAATGTCTTATGATGAAAATGTAAACTTTTTAATAGAGATTAATTGACAAAACTGCTTATTTCTTTGACAGAATGCGATGATTCTTATGAACGTCTACTGCAATAAGATAATGAAGCCCATTGATGGCTCCTGCTGTCAGCCTGAGCCTCCTCTCACTCTGATACAGAAGTTAGCTTTCTGTTTCTTTACTTTGTCCATTATTGGATATTTAATTATCCATTTAATTCATCGGAATAATTATCGGAAGAACAAATCATGCACTGATTTGGAAAGTGGAGAAGAGAAGAAACCTGCCATCAGCGCTCCTAGTGTTTCTACTTTAGAGATGTTGTTACAGTCCTTCTGCAAACTTGGTCTAATCATGACCTATTTTTATCTATGTGACAGAGCAAATCTTTTCATGAAGGAGAATAAATTTTATACACATTCATCTTTCTTCATACCAATCGTCTATATCTTGGTTTTGGGGGTATTTTATACCGAAAATACCAAAGAGGTAATGATCATGTTGACACGTGGCTTACAATGTTGTTTCTCGGTTTAAGTGTAAATAACTAATTGGCAAATATTGAAAGTTAAATTTTCAAAGTCAGCGTAACTCATCTGCAAAAAAGCACTATAAAGTTTACATGGAATTTGATGCAAATCTTTTTTAAAGCGTATGGGTATGAGCACTTTTAGCCACTGTCACTCAGTCGAGAGTGAGCATAGCTCAGATACAAGCAAGTATAGATCACATTAAAATATGGTAGACCTGTGTCCACTAGACAGAAGGCTTTTACAATTTAGATCTATTTACCCATAAAATGGTTTATTGTTTTGAACTTTTTCTCCTCATTTTGTGGATGTTCATTGTACTTTTAGGAATAGCAACACTCTTGTTTGTTTTTCATTAGACTAAAGTGTTAAATAGAGAACAGACTGATGAGTGGAAGGGCTGGATGCAACTTGTTATTTTGATTTATCATATCTCTGGAGCAAGCACTGTAAGTGATTTGAATTTAATATCTTTTTTAAGTGGGAATGCAATTTGGGTATGTTACTTCAAAAGAAAGATTTAATAGAATTAATAACTAATGCTATTGTTCCTGTAGTATTAAAAAAGGTATTAACAATTTTTCTCTCTATTTAAGTGTAGATTTAATTGATAAGAGCATTTGATGCATTAGTTAACCAGTGAAAAAATAGACTTGTTTCCTCCATGGAAAATATCACTTTAATTGCTAGCAACACTTAGTTTTTATGTTCTGAACTTGAAACCACTGAAGGTAAGCTTTCAAAGAGCCCTTCTTAAGTCTTTCTTGACTAGTAACAGAATATGGAAAGTGTAGAGCAATAAATAGAAGAAATTAACATCAGAGAGGTTGGGGCACTAAAAGAGCTTAGTAAGAAACAGGGAAATGTAGCATAATGTTTCTTTTCTTAGTTAAACCTGATTTACCGCAATGCAGAAAAAGCATAAAATAGGGTGGGAAAAAAGGAAAGCCAGAAACATTTATGTGGCCATGTATAAAGGTACTTTATTTTTCTCAACAGTTTTTGCCTGTGTACATGCACATTCGAGTTCTGGTTGCTGCATATCTGTTCCAAACAGGTTATGGGCACTTCTCATATTTTTGGATAAAAGGGGACTTCGGTGTATACAGAGTGTGTCAGGTAAGAATGTCTACTTAGCGTTTCCATGAAGAATTGGTTCAGATAACAAAATATCCATAATATATCCATACTCCCTAAATAATGTGATATCTGTTTACTTAACCAAGGTTTGCACATTAAAAATTGATGTTGTTTCTATGTAATCTGACCTGTTTAATTGGTTGTGTTTACCTCATACAAACATATAGCATATAAGTGATACTTATAATGTAAAAAATGTAGGTATGTAGGCTTAAAAATATCAAGACAAATATTTTCCAATATATAGCAATGGAGTTTTCATTGCAGTAGCAATTTACAGTATATAGCAATATAGAAGTAGCAATACAGGCAAGCTTCCAAAGACAGTGTATTGGGGTCTACATTTGTTAATAAAGAAAATTAATTTTCACACCATAATGATACTGGAGAACATACCTATTTTTGTGGTTTCTCTCCCAGGTTTTGCAGTGTGTGCTGTAGCAGTTTAATTTTTTTTCTTTAAATAAATCTCTTATTGCTGTTAAGTGTTATATTGTCATGTAACTCAGGTCATCGTGCTTATTAAACGTATGTCTACAGCCTGACTGCAGCACTGGTAATGACACTACCACGGTGTTAGCTGAGCTAGCCCAGGCGGCTATAGGAGTGAAAGCAGAGAGGCATCAACAGCATCCAGCAACTGGAATACTCAGTCCCCAGCCTGGGGAACAGTCAGTTCTGTTTCACCCTGTTTTCCTTGTTATCTCTACCCAAGTAGGCCAGAATAGGACAGATCCAGTACTACATAATGAGCCTCCATTCTTATATTGCATTGTTGATGTTCCCTGAGATACTTATCCATGTTTCAACTGGAATATAATCGGCATGTGATATGTAAAATACATAGATAGTTTCATATAGTCCTAAAGAAACGTCCCTCATCTCTCTTGGATTTGCCTCCACCTAGTGGATGAGGGAAAGGCCGTG